TCGTTATTTGATGCTATTAAAACGGTGCTGTGACATCATGATTGACAGCTGTGATTGACAGGTTCTCTGTGTGAGGTAGTCACTGAAGCACCAGCTGACTTTTTTTCATAATGTTGATTATGTGGTAGTAGTTGTATTTACCTTATTTTAACGAGGTTCTGCAATCATAGAGACAGAGGACACTTAATGAAAGGGGCGTGGCGTGTGCTTGCGTTTGATTCAGCGAGAGTGAGGGCGCGGCCTTGATTTAGCGGCTTTACTTCCTGCTCACGACTGCGCATGACTGGTCCCGAAACACGCAAGTGCGCAGATTCAAGTTCAAGATGTCAGCGTCATATCGAGACACTGGCGGCTTCAGTTCACTCTGATGGAAAAGAGCGGAGGAGCGTCGTCCATCTTTTTTTAAAGTCTATGACACACACTTTCACACACACACACAAAATTATAATAAAATTATAAACTTCACTTAAATAAGCCTGATAAATGATTGTTACTCTGACCAGCTAGACTTTAATCGAGCTTCAGCGAGAACCAATGAGGTTCATTCTCGTGTTACGCATCACGTTTGAGCTTCAGCGAGAACCAATGAGGTTCATTCGTGTTACGCATCACGTTTGAGCTTCAGCGAGAGCCAATGAGGTTCATTCTCGTGTTACGCATCATGTTTGAGCTTCAGCGAGAACCAATGAGGTTCATTCTCGTGTTACGCCTCACGTTTGAGCTTCAGCGAGAACCAATGAGGTTCATTCTCGTGTTACGCATCACGTTTGAGCTTCAGCGAGAACCAATGAGGTTCATTCTCGTGTTACGCATCATGTTTGAGCTTCAGCGAGAACCAATGAGGTTCATTCTCGTGTTACGCATCACGTTTGAGCTTCAGCGAGAACCAATGAGGTTCATTCTCGTGTTACGCATCACGTTTGAGCTTCAGCGAGAACCAATGAGGTTCATTCGTGTTACGCATCACGTTTGAGCTTCAGCGAGAACCAATGAGGTTCATTCGTGTTACGCATCTCGTTTGCGCTTCAGCGAGAACCAATGAGGTTCATTCGTGTTACGCATCTCGTTTGCGCTTCAGCGAGAACCAATGAGGTTCATTCTCGTGTTACGCATCACGTTTGCGCTTCAGCGAGAACCAATGAGGTTCATTCTTGTGTTACGCATCACGTTTGCGCTTCAGCGAGAACCAATGAGGTTCATTCGTGTTACGCATCACGTTTGAGCTTCAGCGAGAACCAATGAGGTTCATTCGTGTTACGCATCACGTTTGAGCTTCAGCGAGAACCAATGAGGTTCATTCTTGTGTTACGCATCACGTTTGCGCTTCAGCGAGAACCAATGAGGTTCATTCTTGTGTTACGCATCACGTTTGCGCTTCAGCGAGAACCAATGAGGTTCATTCGTGTTACGCATCACGTTTGAGCTTCAGCGAGAACCAATGAGGTTCATTCTCGTGTTACGCATCATGTTTGAGCTTCAGCGAGAACCAATGAGGTTCATTCTCGTGTTACGCATCACGTTTGAGCTTCAGCGAGAGCCAATGAGGTTCATTCTCGTGTTACGCATCACGTTTGAGCTTCAGCGAGAACCAATGAGGTTCATTCGTGTTACGCATCACGTTTGAGCTTCAGCGAGAACCAATGAGGTTCATTCGTGTTACGCATCTCGTTTGCGCTTCAGCGAGAACCAATGAGGTTCATTCGTGTTACGCATCTCGTTTGCGCTTCAGCGAGAACCAATGAGGTTCATTCGTGTTACGCATCTCGTTTGCGCTTCAGCGAGAACCAATGAGGTTCATTCGTGTTACGCATCTCGTTTGCGCTTCAGCGAGAACCAATGAGGTTCATTCTCGTGTTACGCATCACGTTTGCGCTTCAGCGAGAACCAATGAGGTTCATTCTTGTGTTACGCATCACGTTTGAGCTTCAGCGAGAACCAATGAGGTTCATTCTTGTGTTACGCATCACGTTTGCGCTTCAGCGAGAACCAATGAGGTTCATTCGTGTTACGCATCACGTTTGAGCTTCAGCGAGAACCAATGAGGTTCATTCTCGTGTTACGCATCATGTTTGAGCTTCAGCGAGAACCAATGAGGTTCATTCTCGTGTTACGCATCACGTTTGAGCTTCAGCGAGAGCCAATGAGGTTCATTCTCGTGTTACGCATCACGTTTGAGCTTCAGCGAGAACCAATGAGGTTCATTCGTGTTACGCATCACGTTTGAGCTTCAGCGAGAACCAATGAGGTTCATTCGTGTTACGCATCTCGTTTGCGCTTCAGCGAGAACCAATGAGGTTCATTCTCGTGTTACGCATCACGTTTGAGCTTCAGCGAGAACCAATGAGGTTCATTCTCGTGTTACGCCTCACGTTTGAGCTTCAGCGAGAACCAATGAGGTTCATTCGTGTTACGCATCGCGTTTGAGCTTCAGCGAGAACCAATGAGGTTCATTCTCGTGTTACGCATCACGTTTGAGCTTCAGCGAGAACCAATGAGGTTCATTCTCGTGTTACGCATCACGTTTGAGCTTCAGCGAGAACCAATGAGGTTCATTCTCGTGTTACGCATCACGTTTGAGCTTCAGCGAGAGCCAATGAGGTTCATTCTCGTGTTACGCATCACGTTTGAGCTTCAGCGAGAGCCAATGAGGTTCATTCTCGTGTTACGCATCACGTTTGAGCTTCAGCGAGAGCCAATGAGGTTCATTCTCGTGTTACGCATCACGTTTGAGCTTCAGCGAGAACCAATGAGGTTCATTCTCGTGTTACGCATCACGTTTGAGCTTCAGCGAGAACCAATGAGGTTCATTCGTGTTACGCATCACGTTTGAGCTTCAGCGAGAACCAATGAGGTTCATTCTCGTGTTACGCATCACGTTTGAGCTTCAGCGAGAACCAATGAGGTTCATTCTCGTGTTACGCATCACGTTTGAGCTTCAGCGAGAACCAATGAGGTTCATTCTCGTGTTACGCATCACGTTTGAGCTTCAGCGAGAACCAATGAGGTTCATTCTCGTGTTACGCATCATGTTTGAGCTTCAGCGAGAACCAATGAGGTTCATTCTCGTGTTACGCATCACGTTTGAGCTTCAGCGAGAACCAATGAGGTTCATTCTCGTGTTACGCATCACGTTTGAGCTTCAGCGAGAACCAATGAGGTTCATTCTCGTGTTACGCATCACGTTTGCGCTTCAGCGAGAACCAATGAGGTTCATTCTCGTGTTACGCATCACGTTTGAGCTTCAGCGAGAACCAATGAGGTTCATTCGTGTTACGCATCACGTTTGAGCTTCAGCGAGAACCAATGAGGTTCATTCGTGTTACGCATCGCGTTTGAGCTTCAGCGAGAACCAATGAGGTTCATTCGTGTTACGCATCTCGTTTGCGCTTCAGCGAGAACCAATGAGGTTCATTCTCGTGTTACGCATCACGTTTGCGCTTCAGCGAGAACCAATGAGGTTCATTCTCGTGTTACGCATCACGTTTGCGCTTCAGCGAGAACCAATGAGGTTCATTCGTGTTACGCATCACGTTTGAGCTTCAGCGAGAACCAATGAGGTTCATTCTCGTGTTACGCATCACGTTTGAGCTTCAGCGAGAACCAATGAGGTTCATTCTCGTGTTACGCATCACGTTTGAGCTTCAGCGAGAACCAATGAGGTTCATTCTCGTGTTACGCATCGCGTTTGAGCTTCAGCGAGAACCAATGAGGTTCATTCTCGTGTTACGCCTCACGTTTGAGCTTCAGCGAGAACCAATGAGGTTCATTCTCGTGTTACGCATCACGTTTGAGCTTCAGCGAGAACCAATGAGGTTCATTCTCGTGTTACGCATCACGTTTGAGCTTCAGCGAGAACCAATGAGGTTCATTCTCGTGTTACGCATCACGTTTGAGCTTCAGCGAGAACCAATGAGGTTCATTCTCGTGTTACGCATCACGTTTGAGCTTCAGCGAGAACCAATGAGGTTCATTCTCGTGTTACGCATCACGTTTGAGCTTCAGCGAGAACCAATGAGGTTCATTCTCGTGTTACGCATCACGTTTGAGCTTCAGCGAGAACCAATGAGGTTCATTCTCGTGTTACGCATCACGTTTGAGCTTCAGCGAGAACCAATGAGGTTCATTCTCGTGTTACGCATCACGTTTGAGCTTCAGCGAGAACCAATGAGGTTCATTCTCGTGTTACGCATCACGTTTGAGCTTCAGCGAGAACCAATGAGGTTCATTCTCGTGTTACACATCACGTTTGAGCTTCAGCGAGAGCCAATGAGGTTCATTCTCGTGTTACGCATCACGTTTGAGCTTCAGCGAGAACCAATGAGGTTCATTCTCGTGTTACGCATCAGGTTTGAGCTTCAGCGAGAACCAATGAGGTTCACTTTTGTGTCCCCGCTAACTCCGACAGACCCCGCTAGACTTTGCTAACTCCACTGGACTCAGCTAGCTCTGCCAGACTTCGCTAACTCTGCTGACTCCGTCAGACTCCACCAACTTCGCCAGACTCCGCTAGACTCCGCCAGACTCCGCTAGACTCCGCCAGACTCCGCTAGACTCCGCTAGACTCCGCTAGACTCCTCCACTAATGGTTCATTCAGATGATCTTCTTTTGGAGGAACGTTTGGGGAGTAAAGGGCAGTTTCTGGGAGAAGCATCCAGTGTGTGTGTGTTTAACTATAGGCTAACAGAAACACACACACACACTCACTCACTCTTTCAAACACAATCTCTCTCTCTCTCTCTCTCTCACACACACTATCTCTCAATCTATCTATCTATCTTTCTTACACACGCTCACTCTCTCTCTCACACACACACACACACACACACACAGTTTATCTCACACACACACACACACTCACTTTCTCTCTATTTCTCACACAAACACACTTTTTCTCTCTCTCTCAGACTGGGATGCTGGATATGGAGGGACACACTCTCTCACACACTCTCTATTTCTCACACAGACACACACACACTTTCTCTCACACACACACACTCACCTGGCGGGCGCTGGGTCTGGTGTGTCCGCAGTTCTGCGAATCCTCGGACTCTTTCCCGCTGTGATAAACGCGATCGGAGATGTGGATGCTGGAGGCGCAGCCCATCATTCACCCGCGCGACGCGGCGCGTCGCGACGCTCCTCTCGCTAATAGGAACGATTCTCTCTCTCAGATCATCAAGACGACCGGATCGATCAGATCTAGCGATGATCAAACAGAAAGTCTGCTCATGTTTGTCCTCACGCGCGCCCGTTACTCCTCCTCATCCTCAGCGTCTTTCTCCGGCTCGATTTACGCGATGGTTTCGTCCATTAGTGCGGCGCGTTTGAGCGTTTATTCTCCTTCGACAGGCGTCAAACACACCCGATGTGTCCGTGCGGCCTCATGAGCCGGCGCGTTGATCGCGCTCCCCATCAACAGGCTGAAATCCGCCGCGGAACGCGCGATCCAGCATTTATGACATCAAACGGGCCGTTGATGAAACTCCGGCGCGGCGCGTCAACGCGGACCTCGCGGAACCTGCCTTCAACAGCAGCTGTCAATCACGGGCCTACGGTTCTTCATCAGACGGACGAAAGAAAGCGACGCGCGGCTGCAAGAACACGGAAAGAAAGGCGTTTGCGCGTCGCGAGTTTCCTGACGAGGAATAACGCGCGTTGAGAACATCAGCGGCGCGAATGTGTGACAGCAGCAGATCCAATAAAAGCACGCGCACGGATTGACCTACAGCCTCGAATGACGTCAATGCAAATGAGCTGCGTCGAGCCAATGAGCGGCGGCTTGCGCGCAGGGGGGCGGGGCTCGCGCGTGGAGGGAACTTCAAACTCGCGACGCGGATGGAGGAAAATAATGTGACTCGCTTATAGAGTTAACTCAGAAAAATGCAGTTTACCGAACTTGTCATTTGTCCCATGAAAATCAAAGCTTTGTAATGTTTTTTTTTTTTTTACTTTACTTTACTCTGTTACCTTAAATTATATGTAAAGCTGCTTTGAAACAATCTACATTGTTAAACGCGTTCAATAAATGAGGATGACTTGACTTGATTAGCATTTATCCACAAATGTAGATCTCCCCGTTTTTAATCATTATTCGCTGCAATATTAGCGAATATAGCCTGTAGTGAAATAGCCTACAAATATGAAAAAGTAACACTGAATGTCATCTGGATATATTTAGTGTACACATACACATCATTACTGCATTACAGAACAATCAGTGTGAGTATTCTTTACTTCAATGAGCTCATTGTTTATGCCTTAAATTATTACATTGTTTAAATGCTTTTTTGCATAAATTATTATTTTCGCTAACTGTGATTTGTATATGTACATTTCTGAAACACATAACTTGATGAGGCAGTTTCCTCTGATAACAGATCACTGTAATGTGGACTCATGCATTTACTGCAAACCTGTGGTAATGATGTGTATTGTGAAAAGCGCTATTCAGATAAATGAATTCTTCATGAGGCTCATCCTGTCACGCTTCATTTGTTGACCACAGGTTTTTTCCTTTTGATCACAAGTATCATAAATACAGAGCACGAAATGGAAAACTGATTCAGTCACATTGATTTCCAAGTGTATCTTTATTTGATTTAGTTTGACCTGACACAGAATCATGAGTTGATGAAAAGCAATCTCACTCAACGAGTTAAACTAGAGAATCACAGCACAAACACAATGCAAAACGATCAGCCAAACGTTCCCCGAGCGCTGAGAACACGTCCAGGGTGGTGTATAAGCAGCGCAGCGTTCATGACTCCTGCTATTGTGAATGACATCAGAGGCAGATACTACAAAACACTTTGGTGGAGGGAAGAGTTTATGCGCACTAAAATAATGCATATAGATATTTACATTTCATGAAATGCTTACAAAATAACTGAAATATGACTACAAAATACCTGAGTTATAAATCAACACTTGTATCACATGTAGGGTAAAAAAAAGTATATATCATTAAAATGCATTATATAAGAAGTCATTACAATTCAAAATAGGCTAAACAAGTTTTCTGTTTTTGGTAAATAGGAGGTAGAAACTCTTCTTCTGTGGTGTGTGTGTGTGTGTGTGTGTGTGTGTGTGTGTGTGTTTGGGGGGGGCTCTGCCTACTTCACTGGAGTCATTACTACAACAGCCGGCCAGAAATGCAGTTGTTATTGAGATCACTGAGGTTTCTATTCATCACGTTCATCGGTCGCATTTACAAAAGCCCTGACATGCACAGCGCAATCAAACCATGCAGACGGTGCTCGAATCTGAGCTCAATAAGAACTGCGTGTCTCTGGCAGGCTAGAGGAAGTAAGACTGGAGGGATCCGCGCCGGCGCACGTCCGTCGTCCAGCAGTGAAAGCCTCCTCCCAGGGAGTTAGCGTGGCGGATGTTGACTTTAATCGTCTTAATACCTGCAGGAGCGACAAACAGCAGTCAAACACACAGCGGATCCACATACAAGTGACATGGATTACAAAATCAGATTACTTTAGTGATGTAACAAGAAAAGTAACGCATTAAACGTAACATACATTACATAATTAGAATACTTTAGTGATGTAACAAGTAACACATTAAAAGTAACATGCGTTACATACATTACGTCATTAGAATACATTAGTGATGTAACGAGGAAAGTCACACGTTAAAAGTAATATGCGTTACGTAATTAGAATACTTAAGTGATGTAACAAGAAAAGTAACGCATTAAAAGTAACATACATTATGTAATTAGAATACTTTAGTGATGTAACAAGTAACACATTGAAAGTAACATACGTTACGTAATTAGAATACTTTAGTGATGTAACAAGAAAAGTAACGCATTAAATGTAACATGCGTTACGTAATTAGAATACTTTAGTGATGTAACAAGTAAAGTAACGCATTAAACGTAACATGCGTTACGTAATTAGAATACTTTAGTGATGTAACAAGTAAAGTAACGCATTAAACGTAACATGTCTTACGTAATTAGAATACTTTAGTGATGTTACAAGTAAAGTAACGCATTAAACGTAACATGCGTTACGTAATTAGAATACTTTAGTGATGTAACGAGTAAAGCAACTCATTAAACATAATATGCGTTACATAATTAGATTACTTTAGTGATGTAACAAGAAAAGTAACGCATTAAAAGTAACATACATTATGTAATTAGAATACTTTAGTGATGTAACAAGTAACACATTAAAAGTAACATGCGTTACATACATTACGTAATTAGAATACATTAGTGATGTAACGAGGAAAGTCACACATTAAAAGTAATATGCGTTACGTAATTAGATTACTTTAGTGATGTAACAAGAAAAGTAACGCATTAAAAGTAACATACATTATGTAATTAGAATACTTTAGTGATGTAACGAGTAAAGTATGTATTTATAAATTCACACATTAACACCTAAGTTAATTTTTAAAAAATCATGCACATTACTTTTCAGTTTAATTAATTTACTTGAACATTTTTGAAGTACTGAATAAAAATTCTCTCTCTTCTCCATAACATGTCACTCAAACATACGCACTCATGCCAGCGCACACAGAAAAAAAGCACAAACAAAACACATTACTTTTCAACTTTCAATAAAAGAGTTGGAAGTTTCATAAAGATCCAGTAGGTAATGTAACCTTAATGTGGAGATCTATTGTATGGTGACTGTAAGTGCTCAGAATATGATAATATTGTAAATGTGTTTTTAAAAGTATAATGAAAGTTTGTGTTATATAGGCTATGCATTACTGCAACAAACACTGTAAAAACACCTGCAAGGCCTAGAAGAGATCGGGCCTCGCTGGGTGAGGAAAACAAACGCAACTGTTTTCCATTTAGAGAGCAAATGAGCTCCCCAACACGTCGTGTGCATCGGGTCGAGGTGAAGCTCCACGAGAGCTGGAAGAAACCGCTCTTACCGAGATTCTCAAACATCTTCTGTATGGTTATCTCATTAGCATCCACCATCACACGTTTCTCATCCAGCATCAACACATTCATGGACAGCCATTTGGAGGACATCCACAACGGGTGATCTGAGGAGAAGTTGAAGACAAACGTCATCTATGAAACACTAGTGATTCTCTCCATTAAAGCGCAACAGGACTGAGGAAAACTACACCATTGTTTACATTTTTCAGATTGTTCATTTTGAATATCTGACACAAAAATATGAATATATAAGATGGGACGTGGATCAACCATGTGATGTTTACAAGCTCTCAACCACAGATCTGTTCCTGGGCAGAGATGAGAACGGCAGAACATGACTGTGAGCTTGGCATATAAAGACAGCTTTGTTTCGGACTCCAGAAGAAAAGGTTTTATATAGAGTGTTAGCAGCATGATTATCCCAACTACTGACTTACTGATATGAATCAGATGGGGATGTTCATACTGGTAACGTCACGGTGTAACTGAAGTAGCAGGAGACGTGTTTCCCGCGTATGGTGACGTACAGTGAGGGATTATTGCGAGTCGGCTGATTAGTGAGGGTTTAATGCCCGGTCTGACTGGAGAATCCAGCACACATCTAATATATCCATCAGTATTATTGATCTCCTCATCGACAGCATTATATGAGGCTGAACTGAGCTGGACGATGACATCACGGGTTACTCCAGAGCCGCTATATATATAAATGAACTAAATGAATAAGTTTCTTACAGCAGAAATGAGCATCAGTGAACTGACTTAAGCTGGACTGTGACGCTATTGTCTTCTAGACACACACTCTGCATTATTCTCCTGCTGTCACACACTCTGTGCTGTAGAAATAAAGGAGACTCGAGAGAGAAACCCGACGCTTCACTGGAACATCATGAAATATTGTGGGGTCCAAACATTTAAAAAAAACAACAATATATGCATGGATAATTTGATCTCAAAAAGATTTATAAGATGCATTAAAAAAATTCAGACTTTAAGCTTGTGTTAAACGTGATGATTGGCTCTGATATGATGGAAGGCTGTGTTTAGTTTGAACCAAACCCATGAAACCAGGCTAACTATAACTAGCCTATATCTATAACTATATCTATGACTATATCTATATCTATGACTCTATCTATAACTATATCTATAACTATATCTACATCTATATCTATAACTATATCTATATCTATATCTATGACTATATCTATAACTATATCTATATCTATGACTATATCTATAACTATATCTACATCTATATCTATAACTATATCTATAAACTATATCTATATCTATGACTATATCTATAACTATATCTACATCAATAACTACATCTATAACTATAACTATATCTATGACTATATCTATAACTATATCTATAACTATATCTATAACTATATCTACATCTATAACTATATCTATATCTATGACGAGAGCTGTGTCTGAAACCGCTCACTCGTTCACTCATTCACTAATCCCTATATAGTGTATGGCATTTGAGTGCACTATATCTGCAAGGAGTGAAGGAGATGAAGTGAGTGAATTCGGACGCTGACGTTTACACTGTGCGTCGGAGAGTTGGAGCTGTCGCAGAAAAGGCTTCGTCACGCGTACTGATAAAACTCCTTTTATCTTACATTACCTAGTTTATAAAATAATATTAACAACAATAACAATCATAATGACTTTATTTTGTAATTATACCTCCGTGCCAGCTTTGTAGTTTCATCGACTGAAATTGTACATTAACTCTCACGTTCACAGATGACGTGTCGTCGAGCGCCCTCCGGCGACCGTTATT